AAAGATGTTTATGGCTTTTTCTCTTGTTATGTGTTTGTGTTATACAACTGTACTCATAGATATCTGAACAGTACAAATGTTCTATTTCTTCTTAAGGAGGATCTGTCATGTAAAAAAAAAAAAGAATAAACTGTTACATAATGCTTCCCTATGGCATTTGGGATATTTTTTTGAATTAGTACCCTCTAATACCCCTTCATTACTAGGCCTTTTTCTGTTTTCAGTGCTGTGATAGTTTAAATGACAATTACTCCAACATGCATCACTGTTCCCAAATGCATTTTATATCTTTTTTTTTTTTTTTTTTAAACAGAGCTTTCTTTTAATAATATTTAATAGTCACTGTTTTTATTTATTTTTTGTTTTACTCTATAAAGGGAAAAAGACAAATAATTTGAAAAAATGCAAGGACAGTACAAACACCACTAAAAATGTTTTAGTATAATTTAGGGCATAGTGTTGTACACTGCAGCAGTTGTAGTGCAGAGGTCAGGACTATGCAATGCATAGAACAGCTTGCAGATTCCAGTGGTCAGAAGTTAGTAGTCCCTTATGGTGGTTGCCAGTGGTGAGTGACTCTTTAAATTTAGGTAGTCAGTGGTTTGGGCTCCCTTTTTAATGTTGGTGATCAGTGGAGCATGCCCCACATTGGTGGTCAGTGTGCCTTTTTAAGATCATTCTACTCTGTTGCTGCTCAGTGTTCGCCCTTTTTGGTTAGAATGCCCCTTTCACTGCTGCTCAGTTGGACCAGAGTTATTACTTAAAGCGGAGTTCCACTAGACCTATCAAAAAATAAAAGTCAGCAGCTACAAAAACTGTAGCTGCTGACTTTTAAAAAACAGCCACTTACCTGTCCCTCGGTCCCGTGGTGTGTCCCTCGCAGCTCGTTTCACCGGCCGTCCTGTATTCCAGGAGGCTGGCATCTTCACTGTGGGCACCCAGCTGTGATAGCTTGCGGCTTCACTGCCGGGTACCCACTGCGCAAGCACGAGTAGCACTGCACTTCGGGAATGGTCCTGTAGTCTTCTGGGACCTGTCACGTGTCCCAAAAGACTACAGGGAGGGAGGACACCTTCCGTTTCCGATCGCTTAGGCGATCGGACTAGAAGTTGGAGAGGGTACCTGTCAAATTCGGGTACCCGCTCCCCAAAGGTGCCAATCCTTAATGGGGTGCGGGGGAGCAGTCCTTAAAGTGGGATGTCCCCTTTTGGGTGGAGCTCCTCTTTAAAGAGAAGAAGGGAATAGCAGAAGGCAAGTGCTTGTTTACAGTTTTTTGTTGAAACTTGTGATTGCTATGATTGGTTCACAGTGATCTTAAGGCTCAGAGCCACTCTGATTAGCTCTGTGCTTTTTGCCATCTGCACTAACTAATGACAGCTTCATCACAGGCATTGTGTGCACATGTAGGAGACACAAGGCTGTTCATAAATGGCTTTCCAGAGAATTGGATCCACCAACTTACCTTTTTTTAAACAGTGGTGTGATACTAGGGAGGTAATCAAAAACTGAAATAAACACCGCATTTTATGTAAGCAAGCTTTGGATATTGGAGACATTCCCTTCCCCGAAGTGTGCACATTAAAGGAAAAACAAACAGATCTGCTATTACAAAAAATACATTATATATTCCCCCTCTCTTCAGTGCCACCACCACTAAAGCCATTAATTAGATACTATAATGCACCCTCTGGATTGCAGTAAGGAGGTAAAAAAGCCTCTAAGTGGTGGACCCCACAAGTAATAAATAGTTAAGTCATTCCTATTGCAACATTGTTTCTTTACAGATCCTCATCATAGAATAGTGGCAACATGCAACAAAGTTTCCCCCAGGTGGCACTTTACACAAGCGGTAATATGATTCATTCGCTAACAATGTAGCAGAACAATTTGATTTTTCCAAAGAGGTGCAAAGAATTCCTGCATAGAAATACAATGAATCAGAAGATATATAGTTATTTGCCAACACTGTAGCAAGTCATTCAGAGGAATTAATTATGTCCTCCCCTCGGCAAATACCGTCCTATAAACAGAACCCATTCATGTCATGGCAGAGCCATTCGTAATATTACAGGTGTACCTCGGTTTATGAATTTAATGCGTTCTCCGGGTCGTTTTGTATTGCGAAAAATTCGTAAAACGAAATACGGTTTCCCATAGGAATGCATTGAAAACTAATTAATCTATTCCGGAGGTCAGAAAAATGTCAAAAGTCTTATCCGTTCAAAACTCTTTATAAAGTGCAGTTTACAAAGTAAACAAAAAAAAAAAAAGGATTTTATCGGTTCACAACTTTTTATAACGTACACTTTAAAGGCATAAATACTGTACAGGGACATGATTAAAAATGAATTCATAAATGCATTTGAAAACCAATTAATCCATTCCAGAGGTCTGAAAAATGTCAAAAGTCTTTATAAAGTGCACTTTAAAGGTATAAACCTCCCAAGCTCAATGCATCCTGGGGAAACTTACTTCATATTGCAAAAAAAAAATTTGTAAACTGAGGCATTATTTTCAATGGACTTTCATTTCATTTTTCAATGGAAAATTACGTTAACCGAGGCGTTCGTAAACCGAGGTACACCTGTACATTTATTTGTAAGATTATGAATGGCTCTCCCATTTCTGTGGGTTATACTCATAATGCCTGTAGATCAATGGATACAGATTGACTGTATATAATTAGTACTGTGATGGTAACTTGTAGCATTCTTGAGTGCTGTTTCCAGCTAATGGGCTTGAAGAAATCCTTCCCTTATCAGTAAGATTGGCTTGCCATGCACGCTGTGTGCTCTTCTCTCTCTACTCCTGTTAGCATGCTTCTTACAATGCAGTGCCCATGGCTAGTCCTTTGTGCTGCATTTCCCTCCTCCAGTCTGCACTGCTATACAGAGACTATAAGGCCCCATTCACACCTTGCTTTTCCTGATCACATGACAAGACACACAGCAAACTTTGGAAATGGACTACAAACATGCATCACGCTTGTAGTGCCATTAATTGTTAATGGCACTCCAAACGTGGTTAGCGGATGCGAGTTTTGCTGCATATTTTATATACTATAAACGCGCCAAAATACGTGTTTTAAAAACATATAACACTCCATGCCCGAAAAAGGTGCGGGAGCTTGTTTGGTTTGTTTGTTGTGCATAGGGCAACTCATTCAATGGAACAGGCAGCCATATGCATGACATGCGGAGACAAGCAGTCCCGCTATACAAAGTGTGAATGTGGTCTAAGAGGCAGATACCAGGTCAAATTTAGGTAATTGGCTTTGAAATAATACACTCTGGGCCGGTTCACACTGAAACTGACGCACAGTACACTGCAGTGGTTTACTGTGCTACCGCTGTCCATTCTGGCTGCAGTGAGGTGTCGGTAGGGGGTGGTGTGGTGTGCAATTCAGCACATGAGCTCCGGTTTCTTTATAGAAACTTTATTTAAAGTGCATTACACTGCTTTTCAGTGATATGCGATCATGTACAATGTACTGTGATAAAATGCAGCATGTATGCATTTTATCACAGATGTCTGTAGCACAGCTCTGGGCTGCACTGCAATGTGAACAGAACACATAGAAAAACCGCTGTTTTTTTTGTATCCTATCAGTGACAAGCATTTTACTGTCCAGTGCTGGTCACCACTCTAGTGTGAATTGGTCCTCAATGATTAATACAGCACTGGATTTATTTCTGTTTTTTTTATATCTGCCTGGAGTTTAGCTTTTTTTTAAAATCTGGTCTGATTGCAGGAAGACATTCAGGCAATATGTCATTCGATTAGGATGTAAAGCTCTTACTAAAAAAACAATTGTATCTAGAAAAATCCTATTGTGTGTGTGTGTGTGTGACCCTCTAGAGTCCTGCTATTGCTCGATTGCACACTTTTAGGTTATACTTGTTTCCTTTCATGACTTGTGACAGAGAAAATAACCCAATGTTCCTGAGTGCAAAGCCATTAGTCATTGGGATGAGAAGATGTGGGGGGGATTGTTTTATTATATGGAATGTCAACTATTTTGAAGCTTCGTCCATTCTTGAAATATGCTTCTTAAACGTTTGCCCCTGAAAACAGTCTTTTTATTAGAGTTTCCAGAATGCACATACTTTACAATAAAAATGGTGGGCTGGATAGCTGCTTTAAATTTGTCCACAATGAAAGTGCAAGTGTTTTGTTGACTTGCAGAGGAACTCCGCACCAGTACTACTATTAGGCAAGCTGTGACCAGAATTCACATGATTGTTCTGTGGTCACTGCTTCCACCATCCATTGACTCCCTGTTGACAGGTAAGCCCACCCATAAAACTTTGGTTTAGTAGGAAAGCAAAGGGAGCAGAAAAGGGTTGGCCAGAGCATGATCATGAAAGTGCAGGTGACCAAACCTATCATCTTGTGTCCAGGTTAAAAGGTGTAAAAGAGCCCACATTTTTATTTCAAAGAGAGGAGAGTAGGAGCAGGGGAGTGCTTTGCGTCCTAGACTAAGGGACTGTGTGTTTCTATTGATGCACACAGTGAAGGGAGACATACCGCTAGTCCCTGCATGCAAAGGTGGTTCCAACGAATTCTGCAAGAGAAAGGAGCCACCATGAAACAGGAAACCTGGGGCAGTGGTCATGGCAGCAGCCTAAACTGGAACATAGGCAAGGATTAAAGGATAAACAATTTGCATACTCAGTAAAATACTGTACATGACCGGTACCTGCTTCCCACTTCCACTCCGAAAACCCAGGCTATCAGAACGGAAGGTCTCCTGGCACCCCTCCTACTTGTCAAACCATTTAGATAGCACAATCTGGCTCATGCACGCGCAGTGGGCAGCCGGCTGTGAAGCTACAGTATATGAAATTATACTCTAAGGACTCACCCAGGTCTTACACCAATGCCACTAGCCCAATATGAACTTTGGATGTGTACTAACCACATTTTTGTTTGGTTTATTAGGCCTGGTCTTCTAAATCTTCTTCAATTCTTTATAATCTTTAATTATATTGTCTTTGCAGCTCCTCAGGATGTTCCTTTAAGATTACTCCGCTCCCAGGTTTTTGTGCATTTAAAACAGTTCCCAGAATCCTTGCGAGAAGCAGAAGTGATCTGTAATTTGCAGCCTCAGGACCCAGATGTAAGTATGCATCATCTTTATAGTGATCCAAGAATCTTAAAGCAGATCCGGCAACCCCACCTATTAGAAAAAAAAAAATCTCTAAATGCTGTAAATGCCTTCATTTAATCTTTTTTTTTACTTGAATGCTGAAGGAAAAAAATATAGTGGTGTCCATGGCAACCAGATTATTGTTTATTACCTTGCAGCACAAAATTCACAGTTGGAACATTTTCTAATTGGTTTGAAAGAATCTCTTTTCCAGGTGGTAGGCTAGCGACAACATCCGCAAGGTGATCCACCTTTTATAAACCTACTTCATCATCGGAAAATTACCATTTCTGCTCTTTAGATATTTGCAAAGCCTTCGATTCCCTGTGTTGGGAGTACTTTGTGTTATTCCACTGGGGGTTTGGGGAGGCTATTTTGACCTGGATCCAGGCCCTGTACTTGGACCCCTTCTGCTTCAGTAAAATATGCTGGTTTTTCTCAGCCCCCTTTTCTGTTTGCAGAGGCACAAGAAAAGTGTGCCCCCTTTTCCCCAGCCCTCTTCATTTTAGCACTGCAACTGTTGGCGATGGCTCTGTGGGCTGACCGCAGTGTGACTGGCATTCCCTACGCAGGCCACAAGTATAACCTTAAAAGCGGAGTTCCACCCAAAAGGGGAAGTTCCGCTTTAAGCCTTTGTCCCTCGCTCCCCATTAAGGATTGGCACCTTTGGGGAGTGGGGGGGAGGGGGTATCTGAATTTGACAGGTACCCTCTCCCACTTGCCTAGGCGATCGGAAGTGGAGGTTGTCCTCCCTCCCCGTAGTCTTCTGGGACACGTGACTGCAAGCCGGGTGCCCACTGAAGATGCCGGCACCAGGGAAAGAAGACTACTCTTTTTTTTGCACAGGCTACAAGGAGGGCTGGAGGTACCCAACATAGCTAAATACTATTGGGCGGCTCAGATCTTTAAGCTATCTTTACTGCATGCCTCAGTTGACGTTCTCCTATGGGTTCTCCTGGAACTTTCCAGCAGTGCCCCTGTTTCCACATCAGCGCTTCTTTGGCTACCATTTAACCTCCACACTGCGGCATTGAGTCTGCTCATGCATCAGTCTACAAGTCTGGGATGATATTTGAGTAGCCCTTTATGCTTCTCTGACCAGTTGCTCCTCCCATACTGTCCTCTCCTATGTCACCCAATGGGAACGGGATCTGGCAATTAGGGTAGATCTAGTGGACAAGAGCAAGGCCTGGTCTTCTATGACTAAATTCTCATTTAACACTGCTACCTTGAAGGCAGCATATACTGTAAGGTGCTATTTCATTGGTACTGGGTACCGCCCATGCAAATCCATCTTACAGTGACTGCTGCTTTTGGGGTTGTGGCCATTGAGGGGATATTTTACATACTTGGTGTACAATCCTCTTGTATCCACATGAGCTACAGATGGTGGCTTTGCATGGGTGTTGGCGTCCCCAGGGAGCCCCCTGCCGCTATGAGGAGGCCCCTCTGAACCCTATAAGGTGTGTTTCATTGCTGCTGCTGTGTCAGTTTCTGACTGATTTATAGTACCTCTGTATTGCCACCTTTTGCCTTTTTGCGTGCCTATTCCGGTTATGATGGTCATTGCTTGCCCCTGTGTGGTTGGAACAATTGCCTGTTTATTACTTGTAAATAATAATAAACATTATTGAAAGAGCCTCCTTTTTACAGAGCTGGCTGCATCTGCTGTGCTGAATCCTTAGCTATCCCATAGTGCTGTGGGAATCATTTATCATATATTAAAGTAAAGGTTTTTACAGTAGGTAGAGGGCAGGGGCGGACTGACAACTCATGGGGCCCTCGGGCAGTAGGGGATCATGGGGCCCCTGTGTCCTTGCCCAAACTCAAAAAAGCCTATGAAAAAGGTACCAGGGGCATCTCATGGGGCCCCCTACTGACCCCGGGCCCTCGGGCAGTGCCCAAGTTTCCAAATGGTCAGTCTGCCCCTGGTAGGGGGGTGACCATGGCAGCATTTTCCATCACTTGCAAATATGCATATCTGGATACACTTAAATACCAAAAACACATTCAAAATATTTCCCTTTAAATCCTTTGGAACTCTGCACATTAGTGCTCTTAAGGTGCATTTTGAGCTTTCTTCATCCTCTGGAACTCTCTACCCCAATTTATCAGACTATCGCCTACTCTGCTCACTTTTAGACGATCTCTGAAAACCTATCTCTTCAAGGAAGCCTATCCTGCCCTCAGCTAATAATGGAATCTTCTACTCTTCCAACCAGTCCATCCCCCACAGTTACTACCTTTTTGTACCACTAGCCCCTCCCGCCTAGATTGTAAGCTCCCAGGATCAGGGCCCTCCTATCCCTCTTGTATTGAACTGTATTGTTGCTATATTGTCCCCCATTATATTGTAAAGCGCTGAGCAAACTGTTGGTGCTATATATATCCTGTATAATAATAATAATAATAATAATACTAATAACATGTCCAAGTTTCACAGGTGCATGCTGGGAGTCAGGAATTCAGTAAAAAAAATTCTGGATGAACCCTCTGCACACTGCAACACACCCTCTCTAGCAAACTTGCAATAAAAGAAAACAAAAAAAAAAACAGGATTTTTAGCTCACATTGCAATACACGTTTCAGTTGACCAACTGCAATAGAGTAATCCCTCTCAGGCCAGTGCTATTCTGCTCTGCAAAATGCAAATGCTACAGCGGATACAGTACCAATATGGGGAAAAAAGACAAAGTTGTAGGAGAGCCACAAGTCTCATGTCTGGTCACTGACCAGAGAATCCAGTAAGTGCACCAAAGCGTGTCGAAAACGATATGCATTTTTGGAAAATGGATACTGTGCCACCAATGTGAGAGGGCCCTAATGTATTTGTTTTTATAGGGTTTAATTTGAAAGACTTGGATACATATGTTTTTTTTTATTTTCTAGATTTTAATTAGGAAGAAATGGTGACAAAAAATCCCAAACCAGTGTATTTTTCTGTAATTCTCTTCAATGCAGCTTTCAAGTAATTAGCACAGCCTCAGATACAGCAGGTAAAATAAGTATTGAACACGTCACAATTCTGCTTCTTGTCAGTGCAAAATAATATTAGCTGGTTCGGTCTCAACTGATGGCCTATAAAAAGGTGTCTTATTACCAAGGCGTCACACAAAGTGTCTCATGATAGGTAAAAGCAAAGAGCTATCTCAAGACCTTCACAACCTTATTGTTGCAAAACATACTAATGGCATTGGTTACAGAAGGATTTTTGAACTTCTGACTGTTCCAGTGAGCACTGTTGGGGCCAAAATCCAGAAGTGGAAAGAACATCATTTCACTATAAACCGGTCATGACCAGGTGCTCCTTGTAAGATTTCTGACAGAGGAGTGAAAAGATTTATCAGAAGAGTTGTCCAAGAGCCAAGGACCACTTGTGGAGAGCTTAAGAAAGACATGGACCTGCTAGAATGGCCCAGCCAATCAACTGATTTGAATCCAATAGTAAATCTATGGAAAGAACTGAAGATCAGAGTTCATAAAAGAGGCCTACGGAACTGTCAAGATTTGAAGACTGTGTGGAAGAATGGGCCAAAATCACACCTGAGCAATGCATGTGACTAGTTTCTCCATACAGGAGGCGTCTTGAAGCTGTCATTACCAACAAAGAATTTTGTACAAAGTATTAAATAAACTTCAGTTAGCGTGTTCAATATTTTTTTCCCTGTGTCATGCCATTTTATCACACATAACTTAATTTCGTAACTTTATTTGTTTTGGTTACTTTGTATGGATTGCATGGGTTGTTACCGGCATGTGAAAATTTCGAGTCAATAGCACCTTTAGAAATATATTTACCGAGGAAAATGGTGACGTGTTCAACACTTACCCGTTGTATGTACCCCAAAAAATAACCATTATAAGTTATAATTATATTATAATATATATATATATATATTATACATTATATGATTTTTATGTAGCGTAACTAAATGGTAAGGCTCAAAGTAAAGGTGTATTCCCCTCTTGAAGGTACATTGTGGAGAATGCAGGAAAAAAATACAGTTTGCATAGTTAGCATAACATTTATCCCTGGTTCACACCTACAGTTGTGTTCAAAATAATAGCAGTGTGTTGAAAAAAGTGAATAAAGCTCAAAATCCTTCTAATAGCTTTTATTTCCATACACACAAATGCATTGGGGACACTACACATTCTATTCCAAATCAAAACATGAAGAAAAATATATAAAATTTGTATTGTTCCTCTAAAAAAATTTAAGAAACGTGAATATTAGACTGTTCAAAAAAAGAGCAGTGTTTGTATTCTTCTTTACAAACTCAAACATTCACTATATAAACTGAAAAATGTTTGAAGATTTTGCTTTCCTTTGAATCACTTAATGAATATTTAGTTGTATAAGCACTGTTTCTGAGAACTGCTGTACATCTGTGTTGCATGGAGTCAACCAACTTCTGGCACCTGTGAACAGGTATTCCAGCCCAGGATGATTGGACTACATTCCACAGTTCTTCTCTATTTCTTGGTTTTGCCTCAGAAACTGAATTTTTTGTCACCCCACAAGTTTTCTATTGGATTAAGATCCGGGGAATGGGCTGGCCACTCCATAACGTCAATCTTGTTGGTCTGGAAACCAAGATGTTGCACGTTTACTGGTGTGTTTGGGGTCGTTGTCATGTTGGAACACCCATTTCAAGGGCATTTCCTCTTCAGCATAAGGCAGCATGACCTCTTCAAGTATTCTGATGTATTCAAACTGATCCATGATGCTTGGTTTGCGATAAATAGGCCCAACACCGTAGTATGAGAAACATCCCCATATCATGATGCTTGCGCAACAATGCTTCACTGTCTTCACAGTGTACTGTGGCTTGAATTCAGTGTTTGGGGGTCGTCTGACAAACTGTCTCCGGCCACTAGACCCAAAAAGAACAATCTTACTTTCATCAGTCCACAAAATGTTGCGCCATTTCTCTTTAGGCCAGTCAATGTGCTCTTTGGCAAATTGTAACCTCTTTAGCACATGTCTTTTTTTCAAGAGTGGGACTTAGCGGAGGCTTCTTGCAGATAACTTGGCTTCACGTAGGCATCTTCTAATTGTAACAGTACTCACAGGTAACTTTACACCTTCTTTGATCTTCCTGGAGCTGATTGTTGGCTGAGTCCTTGCCATTTTGGCTATTCTTCTATCCATTTTAATGGTAGTTTTTTTCGCTTTCTTCCACGTCTTTCAGGTTTTGGTTGCCATTTTAAAGCATTTTCGATCATTTTAGCTGAGCAGCCTATCATTTTCTGCACTTCTTTATATGTTTTCCCCTCTCCAATCAATTTTTTAATCAAGGTACGCTGTTCTTCTGAACAATGTCTGGAACGACCCATTTTCCTCAGAATTTGAGAGAGAAATGCACTGTAACCAGCATGTACAACATTTGCTGCCTTCCTTCCTTAAATAAGGGCAATAATTGCCACCTGTTTTTCAAAGAATGAATGACCTCACTAATAGAACTCCACACTGCTATTATTTTGAACATGCCCCTTTCAATTAATGATTCAATTACACAGAATCAGCAGCATGCATGTCATGACTGTTGGGTCAGCAGTGATTGATCAGGTTAGTGATGTCTGACTGCTATTATTTTGAACACAACTGTAAGTGGTTTCCGGCGGCTGCATTTGATCGGGCATAGCAGCCCATTCATTTGAATGAGCTGCTGTACCTCCTGAAAACTCAGGAAAAAGGTCCCTGCACCTAATTCAAAAACAGGGCCGCAGGGAAACAGCATAGTGCAGTGAGGTTCCCAGCATAGAAAACTGTGCTGCTGTTTCCAGGATTCTCCAGGGGTTTCTAGGAGTACTCTTAGTATTAATGATACCCCATGCATTGCCTAAGCATCACACTTTTTTCTCTGCGGGTGCAGGAAGGTGTGTGGTCACTTACCTGTTCTGATTTGATCCTGTCTAAGGATAGGTGCACATCTGGTTGTTGAGGATACAAATTAGCCAGATATCAACTTTTTAAAAAGTGTAGGCTCACTAAAATTCCAAATGACATTGCGTTCACTTACATGAGTATTTGACACTTTCGCAGGAAACGCAAATGTCATTTGGATCAAGAAACTACTTTTGTTTTGGTATTTTTAAAAATGTGTTAAATATACATAATTATACATTATAATAAAAATTGTATTTTTAATTTTTTTTTTTTTTCATTGGGTTCTGGATCTGATCAGTGGGGACCAGATCTAGACCCCGCACGCAGCTGTGTAGCAAGATATCACTTGGTGACTAATAAACCCTGTCCCTGTGCATTTAACCACCTCCCCCCCCGCCATATAGTAATATGACGGGCGCAAGGTGGTTCTCTCGTTCTGGGTGGACGTCATATGACGTCCTCCCATTGTCACTGCGCATGCGCGCAGCGCGGGGCTCGGCAGTGCGCTGTGTCCCTCGGACACAGCAGATCACCGATCACGGAAAGGGCCGAAGATGTCGGCTCGGTCATGTGATAAGCAGTGTCCAATCACAGCTGATCACATGTAAACAGGGAAATGCCGGTTATCGGCATTTCTCTCCTCTCGAGCTGTCACGCTGAGGGGACATGTACACTGATGATCAGTGTGCCCTGATGATCAGTGTTGCCTCAGCAGTGCCACCTGTCAGTGTCCATCAGTGCCTTATGTCAGTGTCTCGTGCCAGTGCCCATCAGTGCCACATATCAGTGCACACCAGTGCACATCAATGCCACATATCAGTGCCCATCTGAGCTGCCTTTCAGTGTCACCCATCAGTGCCAGTCAGTGCCACCTATCAGTGCTGCCAATCAGTGCCAGTCAGTGCCGCCTATTATTGCCAGTCAGTGCCACCTATCAGTGCTGCCTATCAGTGCCATGCATCAGTGCTGCCTTTCAGTGCCCATCAGTGATGCCTGTCAATGCCCATCAGTGCCACTTACCAGTGCCTCCTCATCAGTGCCACCTATCAGTTTCCATCAGTGCAGCCTATCAGTGCCCATCAGTGCAGCCTCATTAGCATATCGGTGAAGGAGAAAAATCACTTGTTTACAAAATTGTGTAACAAAAACTAAGAAAAAACATTTTTTTTTTCAAAATTTTCAGTGGTTTTTGGTTTGTTTAAGAAAAAATAAAAAACCCCGAGGTGATTAAATACCACCAAAATAAAGCTCTATCTGTCACAAAAAAAATTATAAAAATTTCATATGGGTACAGTGTTGCATGACCTCGCATTTGTCATTCAAAGTGCGACAGCGCTGAAAGCTGGAAATTGGCCTGGGCAGGAAGGGGGTATAAGTGCCCTGTAGGCTAGTGGTTAAAATGACACTCAGGGCTAAAGTTTTCAATTTTAAAACATGAAAAACACAGTACCAAGTCAAGTAAATTATTATATACACAATAGAATGAAAAAAAAAAAAAATTATAATGAATAGTGGCTAAGTGGTTAGCACTTCTGCCTGGCAGTACTAGGGTTGTTGGTTCAAATTCCAACCACGGCACCACCTGCCTGGAGTTTGCATGTTCTCCCTATGCCTGTGTGGGTTTAGTCCGGGTACTCCAGTTTCCTCCCATACTCCAAAGACATGCTGGTAGGTTAGTTGGAACCTGTCTAAATTGTCCTGAGTGTGTGTAAAGTGCTGCGTAAATTGATGGCGCTATATAAGTACCTGAAATAAATAAATAATAAATATCTATTGATTAGTGCCAGATAATGGGTAGTATCAAATAGATTAATCAAGAACTACAATCCTACTTGAAAAATGTATCAGAGCATGGATCATGTATTTGAATGATATCTGCGAATGAAAGGGTAAATCCATTTTCGTGGGGAAAAAAAAAGTAAAACACCTTTTCTACCTGGAGGTGTTTTGTACACTGTGCACAGACCCCCCCAGAAATGTAATTTCCTTTTTTTGTGATTGGCTTACTGATTTTTCCAGAAGTCGGCAAAAATATCCTTAATGGTGAGATACTTCCAAAGGAAAATCATGTCTAAAGGGATGCAGACCCTGCACTTTTCCTCATTACAGCCCTGCAGGTACAGAAGCTGATTGAGAATTATAAAATCACTACTATACAGACTCATTGTATACAGAGAAAATAGTAAAAATGATTATTTTATTACATTTGCAATTAAATTATTATTAAAAGTATTTGCGACCAGGAATATTTGAGGAATATCTATGTACATGTATATATTTTCTTAAGGTTACTGGATTTGCAAACTTTAATTTTTTTTTTAGAGGAAGCACATATTTACTTGCTGCATTACCTCCTATTTTTTGTGTGTTTTTTTTTGGGGGGGGGTTTCGGTGGTTTATGGTGTGATTACATGTACTGGATACCATGGATTGTAACAATCGTATATTCTAGAACAGAATATCAAAAGTTAATTTTTACTAATTTATCTGTACACCTTTATATCCCAGGTCTCGGGTACATGGTCTATAACTACTTTAGCTGGTTGGGATTTTACTAAATAAAGTATAAAAGAATTCCACTAGCAAAATTCAGTAGTAGAAATAAATAATTGGAAGCCCTTCTCTTTTTCCTTTTTTATTTTGTGCTTGTCCAGCTCACAGATCCATATTTTCTGACACCTCTGTAGCTGAGAATCAGGCTTCAAAGTCTCTGTTTACAAGTCCTCTTTTGGCAGCTCTTCCCACACTGAGGCTGAACATCAAATCGCTATCTTGGCCTGTTGACCTCATTATGGAATGATTAGTGAGTCTGGGACCTTGTGAGACCTCAAGTGGCTCCGCTGTGTGAACAAAACTGTCTCTAAATTGGCTTACAGAGTGCTAATGAATGGGTAGATGTTACCAAAGCACAAATTCTAGAGATCTGCAATAGAAGCGTCTGCCCTGACAACTCTTCCAACTTTATGACACAGCATACAGGCAGCATTAATCTGCTCTGCTTTAGTTGTGATCCTGATGCATTATTTCATCTGCGTTTTGTAAAACTGTTTGTTTGTTTTGTATTTACTATGTTTCATTCATCTACAGACCCCCCCCCCCTTCCCCAAACATGATATATTTTTAAGAGGCCCTAGAGAATAAAATGGTAGGTTTTGCAATTAAACTTTTTAATGAATTTTAATGCACACAAACACAATATAATACCTATTTTTTTGTAAAATATAAAAGATGTTATGCAGAGTAAATGGATACCTAACATGTCACACTTTAAAATTGTGCACACTCGTGGAATGACATCAAACTACGGTACTGTGGACGTGGTATACTTTGATTTTGCAAAAGCGTTTGACACAGTTCCACACACATGGCTAATGTGTAAGGTAAAGTCTACAGGCTTGGAAAAATCTGTATGTAAATGGATAGAAAACTGGCTAAAAGATCGTATTCAGAGAGTAGTAGTTAATGATTCATACTCTGAATGGTCTAGGGTCATCAGTGGTGTACCCCAAGGTTCAGTGTTGGGACCCTTACTTTTTAATATATTTATAAACAATATAGGGTCTGGGATAAAAAAAAAATTTCAGTATTTGCAGATGACACCAAGCTGTGCAGTGGAATAACATCTTTACAGGATGTCTCTAATTTACAAGCCGACCTCAATGCACTGTTTAATTGGGCAACTATGTGGCAAATGAGGTTTATTGTTGATAAATGTAAGGTTCTGCACTTGGGGGCTAAGAATATGCATGCATCATACATACTAGGGGGGGTACAACTGGGGGAATCAATGGTGGAGAAGGATCTGGGAGTTCTGGTAGATCACAAGCTTAATAATGGCATGCAATGCCAAGCTGCGGTTTCTAAAATCCTCCTGAGGATTTACCACCCACCCCCCTTCCTGACCAGGCCATTTTAAGCGTTACAGCGCTGCGTTACTTTGACAATTGCGCGGTCATGCAATGCTGCTCCCAAATTCAATTTACATCCTTTTTTTCCCACAAATTGAGCTTTCTTTCAGTGGTGTTTGATCGCCTGTGGTATTTTAAAATCTTTTTTTGCGATATTACAAAAAAAAAAAAGACCGACAATTTTGTGAAAAAAAAAATATTTTTAACTTTTTGCTATTAAATATGTTCAGTAAAAAATCATATTTTGTCATAAATTTATGCCAAAATGTGTTCTGCTACATGTCTTTGCTAAAAAAAAAAAAAAAAATCCCAATACATGTAAATTAATTGGTTTACGTGAAAGTTATAGCGTTTACAAATGGTGGTATAGATACTGGAATTTTTTTTTTTTTTGTATTAGTAATAGCGGCAATCAGCGACTTATAGCGGGACTGCAGCGGGCATTCTGACACTGTTGGGAACTGACTTGTTGTCACTGACATCGCCAGTGATACCAATACAGTAAAAAAAAGCACTGACACTGTACTAATAGCACTGGGCTGGAAGGGGTTAACATGAGGGGTGATCAAAGGATTAACTGTGTGCTGGGAGTGTTTTACTGGGGGGTGGTGTGCTGGTGCTTCCCTGTATACACACTGCTCTGGATGGCTGTGCTGTGCAGAGTAAACAAAGCAGTCCTCCTCCCCATCGGAAATGCTCGGTAATCACCGGCCGGGACCCGGTGATTAACCGCCGCAGCCATGAATGGCGGCATGGGTAGAGCGATCGCCCCCCTACCCAGAAATACAAAATCACGTATATATGTATATATATGCTGGCAGTGTTTTACTGGCTGGCGGTGTGTTGGTGCTTCACTGTAAGCACTCTGCTCTGGATGGCTTTGCTGTGTACAGCCATCCAGGACAGGGTCCCCGAATCAACAGGGAGGAGGACTGTTGTTAAACAAAGTAGTCCTCCTCCCCATCGGAGATGCTCGGCAATCAACAGGCGCCGGCGGGTAATCACCGGCCGGGATCCGGTGATTGATAGCCATGGCCGTGAATGGTGGCACGGGTAGGGCGTGCACCCCCTACCCAGAAATTCAACATCACGTGTATATATATGTGATTTTGCGCAACCCTACTGCCCTGTAGCAGTATATCTGTTATAGGGCGATCGGGATGTGGAGAGAAAGGCAGCTTATACTGTATATGCCTATTTTATTAATATATAAAGGTCAGGACTAATCTATAGACCTATAGATCTAAATAAATCTACATTGCATAGAACTAGGTTATAGCAGGAGCTCTAGATTCCTTTTTATGTTTTTACCAGTCTGTCCTTACCTGTGCTTTGCTGGAAAAGTCTGCTTACAGAGTTCAATGACACAAGCTGAGGTTTACACAGAACAGAATGAGTCTGCCTTCCTCCCTCCTTGCTTGATAAGATGGCTTAGTTTGAGTTTTCTGCAGAGAGAAGAGACATAAATGCAAGCAGCTTCTGCGGTGCTTGCTCTAGTTTTTGTTGTGCAGTTAGGGATGTTGGATTGTCAAACAGGACTCACTTCTTTTCCTACTTTCCTGCATTATTTGTAGCCAAGACTCTAGTACTGGGTTGCCTGAGCACACAGTTGTACACAGTTACAGGCTCCTCTCCTATACTGAAATTGCTTACTCTGACTTTACTGCACACTGTAATTCGGATATACATATCCTATATAAGCTCAAAGTATTTTCACACTGTTTATGATCTAACTTGCCGGTGTCATTTGATCTTCTGTGCAGGGTTTCTACAGAAAAGGAGTGGCTTTGCTCAACATGGAAAATAAAGAAGAGGCTCTCATTAATTTCCAGCATTGCATGAATCTGAACCCACAATTCCCTGAAGCCCGTCAGGGAATTGAGCAGGTAACACAGAAATGCTGTTTGACATGGTTGAACCTTTTAACCTTTTGATAAGTAAAAGAGGAAATTGGCAAAAAAAAAGGAAAAAGATGGTTTTCATGTTGTCACAGCAGCAGGGGGGGTGAGAGCCTCAAACTGCCATGTCCTAGATTTCAGCTGTTTGGAGACTTGCCACATTCTGAAAGTATATCAAAAGTCAAAACTTTATTTTGGATAAAGCTAAGCTGGCTAAAACCTCTCTTATTGGAGAGATTTCTCTTCACTTCTTGTGATATAGACACAGTAGGAAGTTGGAGGAAATCTTTTTAAAGTGAGGGAAATATCTTCTTAGACAGTTTCTACTGGAACAAATGTTCCAGTGGGAAGATTCCCACTTTATTCCTTTTCTGGTGACAACTCAATGTTTGTACTTTCCCTGGTTTCCTGTCCCGGTGAAAACGAGCACCAAGACAGAGTGAGAATCTCCCTAACGGGAAAGTAATCCAGTCCTGACAGGGTTGCTAGCCTTTCATTGCTCTATCCAAAACAAAAAAAAGTTTTTTAGTTTTAGATAATTGTTTTTTCATTCTTTAAGATTTTCAGAATATACAGGAAGGAAAAAAAAGCAGTATGAGAAAACACATTCTGCCCAAAGGGCCGGCGTATGCCACATATATGTAAACAGAAGCAAAAACTAAAAAAACAATAAAAACTCTACAAAAGAGACACATACCAATAAAAGCATGTAGTCAACTCTCTAATGGCTCAACTAGGCTGATTGGTGAAGGGTGTAGCTCAAATACAGCTTGTACAAGATCTTTGTCATAGGTAATAATTTGGAAGTTAGGACACAGGGCAGACCCTCACATCTTATGGATGGGAGAGTTGGTATTAAAAGAAAAAAAAAAAAAGGCTGGGGAAGGGCACAGAGGAGCAGAAAAATAAATGGGGTTGAGGTTCATGGTATGGCTGTCTGCCAGGGGTGTATCCAGATTCTTAGGGATGTAAAGAATATACTGGTCATGGGCATTCAGAAAATATAGGGGTTGGGGCAGTCTTTTACAAACTCTGAAAGCTGTAAGTAAACAATTAAAACCTCCTTATTTTTAAAGAAATTTTTGCATACATTAGATTTTCATCATTTCGCAAAAGTGCAATTTAAAATTTACAAATATTTTTTCTAACTCAATACAGGTTGAGCTTTTATATTTAGTAGGAATTTAGCAGGAATTTTGTAAAATTAAAGAACCAGGGCCTTGGGGCGCCCACTCACTCCCCTCATCTCTGGGTCATCAGAAGGTAGGAATAGGCTTATCGTCTGACCACCTCCCATCCTATGGAACTCCCTACCCCAATCTGTCCGGCTATTTCCTAATCTATCCACCTTTTAGACGATCCCTGAAAACTGTTCTCTTTAAAGAAGCCTATCCTGCTTCTACCTAGTAAAAACTGCCTTTTACTTCCTCCTTCACTCATCCCCCACAGCTATTACCTTTTGTATCACTCAGCCCTTCCTCCTAGATTGTAAGCTCTAACGAGCAGGGCCCTCTGTTTCCTCGTGTACCAAATTGTATTGTAACTGTAATGTTTACCTTCATTTTGTATAGCGCTGCGCAAACTGTTGGCTCTATATAAATCCTGTATAATAATAATTATCAAGCCAGATCAGCTGAGTAACTCGCAGAGAAGGTGTAGTTGAACCAATAATACCAAGTCTTATAAAATGTGTCTTCCCTGTGGTTGGAAGACACTAAGATCTCTTCCAATGTACAAATATGACCACTTTTGTTCAGCCATGCCCTCATTGGGGGTGGGGTTGTCTGTCACCAGAACAATGGGATACAAGCCTTACCTGCATTTAGTAGGTGTATGTTGTGAGAGTGTTTGTATCGCTTGGACGACATGGGCAACAGATGTAGCAGGTAAGCCACCAGGTCTTCTCCCTAGATACATTATAATATAAACTCTTCTTTAGAAATAGAGACAGATTACTTTTTGTCTTGCAGAGTAATGACTGTGAATGAGTCTATTGTGACTTGAGGACATCTCATGCTGCCAACTGAAGAATGTATTATGATTCTCGTGAGCTTCTACGAGTTACCCTAATTAATAGCTGCTAGCTCCCTAACACACTCTCAGATAAATGTGTTCCAATACCAGATAACCAACAAATAGTGCAGTGCTAATTTAAATACAATAAACCATAAATGTGAAAAAAATGTGAAGAGTCCTCCGATTCCCATATATTTCAACAATAAATGTCTCTTGAAAAGCTGGGTATGTTTTTTGTGAATTCCTCTTATGTTTTCTCAAAAGTCAGAGTGTGCTCTCACCTGGATTGGTTGACCTTAAAATCATGTATGGTGAAATAATCATTTTTATTAATCAGCCTTGCATAGCCTCCTTTTTTAAAACTGGGGAATCGATGAAAAAAATGCATGCCATAGCATGTGCGGCAAAATATTTTTCAGTATCTTCTCTTCCACTCAGAGTGCATGTAAAATAAAAAAAACCACATAATGCCTTATCCTTGAACACAATTTTCTTTGCAGATTATACTACTCACATAAAGAATTATCAGTCATGTCTTTATTTGTGTTTAGTGAAAATTAACCTCTTCCCGTCTGGCCCATATCGATAAATAGCCAGACGGGAGTGCTGCCAAAGCGGGTGGACGTTTCTAAATGTCCCCCCCACATCCATGGCCTGTGCAGAGTGCAGAGCAGAGCGCAGAGAGCCTCTGGGAGTGCGCGGCACCGTGATTGGTGCTTGCTGTGTCCATAGGACACAGCGAAAACACAGATGTACGGGACCTTTGTGTGAGGTCCAGATTTTGTGATCACTGATTGGTCAATCAGTGATCACATGAACAGTAGTAAACAAGATGTCACTTTCTGACATCATTGTTTACTACTTGTGAAATCTGTGAATGATCACAGAGGTCACATGGTACAAGGCTATTCACAACAGCTTTGTACCATGTGACAAGCTGTGATCAATCACAGCTCGCACAGTATTTCTCAATGGCTGCAGGAATGCAGGCAGAGGGAAGGAGAAATGATTGCTTTTAAAGTTTTATCTGCTGAAAGCTGAAAATTGGCCTGGACTGGGGTGCGAGGGTCCAGACTTGAAGTGGTTAAACACAATTTTCTTTGCAGACTATACTACTCACATAAATAATTATCAATTGTGTCTATATTTGTGTTTATTGAAAATTAGGGTGCAATGGGTGCCACCTTCACCAGATGTGCCCTCACCCGGTCTCTTTATTTGCCAGCTCCAACAAACTCAAGATACTCCTTCATAATCACTGTGCAGGGCAGTGAATATATTGTCTTTCACTGTCATACACCTCCCAATCTTCACCAACATTCCAACCCTCTCCTCCAGTACCGATCACACTGGAATACTTCGTTGGAAAGACAGAGACTAGTACTTTTTAGGGCACCGCCCCAATGTCTGTGATGACCGGGCAGTGTATGACAATATATTCACAATGGGAAAGAAGGAAAAGTGGAAGAGGATTTAAAGGGACTGCACCACGAATATTAGGTTGATCAATGTGATCTGGAAGATTATGAAGGAGTATCTTGAGATTATTGGAGCTGGCAATACAGGGACCAGGTGAGGGCACATGTGGTGAAAGTGGTACGTATTGCACATTCATTTTCACTAAACACAATTAAAGGCACAATCAATAATTTGGCAAGGAAAATGGTGTTGCTTTTGAGAAAAAAAAGAGGATTTCACACAAGCATACAGAGCTCTTTTAAGAGACATTTATTTTTTTTAGTATATGGAATCAGAGGACCCTTCACATTTTTCACATTTATGGTTTATTGTATTTAAATTAGTGCTGCACTGTTTTTTTTGGTCAACTGAAGAATTTGATTTGAATGGTGAAAAGGTTACAAGGCTGCAGATAATATCATTAAAGCTGAACTCCAGGTAAAATTCAAAACTACTCTTGTACAGCAAGGATTAAATACCCATTTTTGTCTAGGGCACCATTAAAAATCAGTTTTACTTACCATGCCCCTTGCTCCTCCGGCAGCCAGTGCTCTTCCCGGTAATGCTTCAGGTTGTGGTCTTAGTTCTTGGTGTCCTCTCCCACATTGTGGGATCACTGGTCGTGCATTGCACGTGATGATGTCAGAGTGCACAGGGAGGAGGAAGCATGCATTTCTTGGTTTTTGTTTTTCTACAGTTCAGGTTTAATCTCTCCGTGTGAATCATTTTATATGTGTGTACAAGAATAAGCAATTATTTAGCACTTAGTATTACTAAACCCAGGACTCTGCCTTCACTATATCAGATCTCCCACAGTACTCAGAACATGGACATTATTTGTTGTAAATATAAACTCCTAAATACCTTTTCTCAGCAGTATATAGCAATCCTGTGCCTTCTATCAGTGTCCAGCTGAGCACATGTTAAAGCACGTAGGAGAGAGTTTTCATTCTGCTCCAGGAGGATGCAGAACCCCTGACCTCTGTCTGGACTGTGCTGATTGGCCCTGTGCTTATCACATGCACTCTTCCAAGTAAAAAAATAAAACCCTCTAGCAATACGCACCACACTGAGCATGTGCAGAGTGTCTCCACACTATATGTCTTACCAGGAAATAAGAGGGGGCACTGGAAGAAAGGGAGGATCAGAGAAGTCAGGATCAAACAGCGTTTTTACACCATGAGGAAGATTAACCCCTTAGGCTCCACAATGAGTATAACGAGCATTATTCACAGCAAATACAGACTGAGTTTACTGTTGTGAGTTTAGTAACTCTTTAACCCTTTTTTCTCCCAGCAACCCACTCACATTAGCCAGTGGCAAGGGCTCCCTGTTTTGCTTATAGGTTGGAATCTCAGGCGCAGGTCCCTCCAGCCTGGTACCGGCGTGTTTTGCTCTTCTTGCAGGAGCTACTTCCAGCCACCACTATAAAGGTAGAAAGACACCGACTATATACCGTATTTATCCCATTGTAGTCTGTCTCTTTTCTGGTACCTTTTTTTTTCAGCTGCCTTTTTTCAGCAGGCTGTAGTGAGAAGAAAGAGAAGAGGACTGTATGTTATGGCCAGTGTGATGTGTTGTTGCATCTGTTTATTATTTTTTGCAGTGTAGTGAGTTGCCCTGGGTAAAATTGCATATATGCTGCACCACCGCAGCATATGGTGTGAACAAGTCACATAGAAAACAATTGCTTTCTATGTGCCCTTGAGTTGAGCCTACATTGATCTATGCAGATCAACTCTGTTCAACAGACGTGGTGTGAACAAGCCCTAAATATTAAAGCGGTATTGAACCTATAACCAATAATGTATCATATTGCAGGTTAGCAAACATTAGATGTGGTGGCTGTATTCGTTTTCATTTTTAGTCTTTTTTTATTCCATCTGTTTTTACCTGGTGATCTGGCCAGTAACACACCTCCTAAACCTGCCACAACAAAATAACATTTCTGGACCCAGGAGCTGTTTGCCATAATGTGCCAGTTTTCACAGCATATTAGCACATTATGGCAGATGTGCCTTGCAATCGATTCCTTCCAGCACTGCCTTGCCAGCACTCCATCACTAGTGCTTTAACTGCAGATAGATGAGGATAATAATTATGACCTAAAAACCCTACCTGTCAGTGTTTTTAGAAATATGACTTACTTTCGCTTCAACATTTAAAAGTCCTTTTCAGTTTGGCCTTGGTTCTGTTAAAAAAAAAAAAAAAGTGATTTAAAAAAAATTGATGCTAAATTGAAATTCTATGTTCTTTTCTTAGATGCTGAAAGATGTTGGTCGTCCCGTGCCTTCTTCTCTGGCTGATCTACTATATGAGGTGTCTCAATACTTGAAGTTGTCCTCTGTAGACACTACTGCTCTTGTAATCCCCATCCACAGCGGCAGTATCGATGTGAAGGTAAAAACTTCATGAAAAGAGTGTTTGTTGTGACATGTCAGCTGTGTATCATAAGGTGCAATTTTAGCCAAAAACATTTTGTATTTAATGGGCATCATGTACAGAGACGGTGAGAGGCTGGAAATATGGCTACTGTAAAATTTCCTGAGTTTTCCCATGACTTGGGAGCTACAGGAGGGCAATAAAAGTGAATAAAAGCTGTACACGTCTGTACTCATGTCAGTGCTGATGTGCATCAGTGTGCAGGCGAGGTCACTCACCCTGCTCATGGGGGGTACCTTTCACAGTGCACATACTCACCATTGCCCGGGGCGAGGCGTGGACCGTGTTCATGTGAAAGTCATGGCGTCCATCGGTTTAGAGAAGAGCCGTGCACTGGTATGTAACATGAAGTGTTCATCTGTAAACTTCCATCTTGTGTCACTGCACACTTTTCTGTAACATGTCTGGCTAAGCTGTGGCCTGTTTAGGAATAAAAATATTTCTGCTTTATTTATGTTTCAGCCTATTGAACCAATTTTCTTTTTTCTTTTTTTTTTTTTTTTTTTTACTGTGTGTGTTACCAATGTAAAATAATTTTTTTTTCAATTTGACAGACAGGAAGGTGATAGAGAGAGTAAGTGCGTGTGAGACAATAGACTGTGCTTGTAGGTTCCCCAAGAAGTGAAACATGTGGCGCAGGAGGCATTGGGCAAGTGTAGGCAACAGTAGAAATTTTTGCATCATATAGCAGGCTAGATGGCTAGATTTGGCGGGTACTGCAAACTTTCCAGGTAATGAGCGGGACTATTCAGAGTAGGTGGTGGTTAAACATTTTTTTTTGCAAAAGGTATATTTTAAGTTCCATATAGATTGTAAAATTCCCTGAGTTTTCCCATGTCTTGGGAGCTACAGGACCGTTAACAGCGGGCAATAAAGGTGGACCGCTGTACATGTCTGTACTCATGTCCGTGCTGATGTGCATCAGCGTGTGGGCGAGGTCACTCACCCTGCTCATGGGGGGTACCTTTCACAGTGCACACACTCACCATTTCCCGGGGCGAGGCATGGACCGCGTTCATGTGAAAGTCATGGCGTCCCTCGGTTTAGAGAAGAGCTGTGCACTGGTATGTAACATGAAGAGTTCATCTGTAAACTTCCATCTTGTGTCACTGCACACTTTTCTGTAACATGTCACATTTAGGAAGGGACACTGCTGAGACCATGACTTCTCCATCTGTCCAGCATGCCTCTGCTACCTCCCTTCCAATGACAGAATGGGGTCCCACTGAGCTCTAGTGCGGACCCCATGCCTGCTCTCACTTAACTCGTCCAGCTCTCCATACTGTATGGCTAAGCTGCTGGTCTCCGTAATGCGGGTTCGGTTCTGGTTGCTCCGAAAAACTGACTGGTGGGGAGGAAGCCAGATCACTGACTCACTGGATACCGGAGGACCCGCCGGTTGCTGTATACTTTACACCATTACTCAGTTACCCGTGGCAACTGCATTCATCTTCCACTTGTCTTGCAGAGTTAACCCTTTATGTAGCGGCCCTGCTTCATACCCCATATGTGCTTTACTGGGCCAAGTTCTTGCATATGCCAGGAACTATCATTCACTTCTTTGAATAACTTCAGTCCAGGCAACTTTTACTTTAACAATTTGCAACACAGTCCAGCATGAACCATAACACGCATGAACCATAACACGCATGAACTCACTAACCTAGGTGTCCCAGGCATACCTCAACAAGGTGTCAGTCCATCTCTGACATTTTCCATGATGTAGCATTTCTCCAGTCACCCGGTCCCTTCTGCTGTCCCCTTTTGTAGCTCCACCTGATCACGGCATTCCGGTTAAGCAGGGACCCTGTACTGAGCCTTCCCTTATATGTAAGCTCTAACGAGCAGGGCCCTTTGCTTCCTCTTGTACCAAATTGTATTGAAACTGTAATGTCTACCTTCATTTTGTAAAGTGCTGCGCAAACTGTTGGCGCTATATTAATTCTGTATGGTAATAATAAAATATAAATATATATAAAATATCTCTATCTCATAGGATAGGCTGGGTCCAAAAAGCCCGGGAACAGAGCACATAATTAACCCCTTCCTCATCCTAGGACAGCCACTGCCTAGCTAACACAATGTAGGCAACCTGCCTACAAGCATTTAGCCACACATGCACATATGTCCGATACACCACACTTGTGGGTAAATGCTGATGTGAAGAAGCATCAGTATATACAGGAGTACAGAATACCATGTACAGCCATTCACTTCTAAGGCCTGCTGTGCTCCCTAGGTGCAAGAAATCACTGGCAGATTTTTGCTAGGCAAATTTTCAGTCTCTCACCATCTCTGTGCATGAGGCCCTGAAGTGGGCAACATTTAGAATCTGGTAATTTTTTGCTGCTCCCTGTGTCTCATATCATTCTGCCATGCTACAAGGTAATGGCATTTGCCTTAATTTGGATTTTGTGTGGTCCGCTGTAGCAAGAAATCCAGAGAGCACCACTTAGAGTCACTATGAGTGAACATCCTCCTTTTTTTTTTTTTTTCCCACTTCCTACATCACCAGTAACCTTTAGACTTCCAGGGCAGGTTTGAATCCGATTAGCATCTGTGAAAAACTTCTCAATAGTGACATTTTCTTACATGTGAGAGACAGCAAGGTGTCAGGAGGGGGTGTTTGGGAATGGCTCTCCTGCATCACAGGCAGGTGTTCTCCGATAACCGAGATAACTGCTTAATGGAACTATGGAGGCCTAGTTCATTGGGTGAAAGCTGAAAGTGTATCTAAGGGTGCGTTTTTAAATGAGTGGAACTCTGTACTTCCACTCTAAAATGAAATGTGCATGAATTGCTTTTTAGTAGGTGGTAGTGCTGCCAGGTATTCAGAGGGCAATATTGACACCTCCTAAGTACTTTTTTTTTCCTTCTTGAGGTGAATGGGGATTTTGTAATTGAAATATTGTGCTGGAACCGCGTGCCAAGTGTTTGGATCCACCTTTTGGAGGTGATTGTGAGCATTATGATGTGTATTGTGGTGTATGGACCGCTGCACCGGCTGAAAGGTCATCACAGCCGCTTTGTGCATCGGGGTCTGGAGGGGTGGCCAGGATATTTTAAATTCACGTTTTGATTTTTCTTGAAAAGGTACGCTTTTTATTTAACCCTTGCCATTTAACCCAGGGTCCCCAAGGGCTTTTTTTTTTTTTTTTTTAACTCTTAGAGCTTGGCTTTAAATGCAGTGTATTTTACATGGAGGTCTAGGATGCTGATCTATCTGGCTGGGATTCCTGAATGACAAAACTTAAAATGTGTGAGATGTACTACCATCCTAACTGTATTTAGTGGTTTGCTTGGGGTTCTAATTTAAATGTACCTGTTGTTCCTGGCATTTACATAACATGGGAAATTAAATTCAGCTGCACTGTCATCTTTTCTCTGAGAAACTGCACCTGAATGACATAAAGCATATATTTCATATATGTGCTTCGCAGACTGGAGGCTTCAGAGCACATTTCAAACCTCAATAAAAAGTTTATTGCAATTTCATGTGATAATTTGTTTCATTAGCCAATCTTGTGGAGCCCTCTAGTGTACACTTTATATAATTTATTTATGCAGCTTTCTGCATGCTTTTTATCTTGTAATTTTGTGGCCTGTTTAGGAATAAGAAATATTGCTGATTTATTTATGTTTCGGCCTATCTAACCATTTTTTTTTTTTTTTTTTAATTGTGGTGTTATCAATGTAAAATACATTTTTGTTCAATGTGACAGACAGGAAGGAGATAGAGAGTGAGTGTGTGTGAGCCAATAGAAGGTGCATGTAGGTTCCTCAAGAAGTGAAACGTGTGTGGTGCAGGAGGCACTGGGCAAGAGTAGGCAACAGTAAAAATGTTTGCATCACATAGCAGGCTAGATGAACTTTCCAGGTAGTGAGCGGGTCTATTTAGAGTAGGTGGTGGTGAAACTTTTTTTTTTTTTTTTTTGCAAAAGGTACATTTTAAGTTCCATATAGATTTAGAATACTTGAGAAGAATGTTGAGAGGAGACTTACTTTACTTGGTCAACTGCCTACTTTTGACACTTTCTCAACCTCAGCAGGTCTTACTGCTTTATCACACTGACCTCCATGAAGCTTCAGTTTCATGTCACTGTCTACTCAATTCTAGTCTAATCTTTATCTGTCCACTTTTACCCCACTATGTCCACCTTCTGCTCCATTCTTCTCAGTATACCATCTTTCAACTTTTTCCACCCTCTGTCCCAATCAGTTCACATTTTTGTCCCATGCTGCACCTTCTGTCCTATTGTGCTTACCTTCTGCTCCACTGTTTTCACCTTCTGTCCTACTCTGCCCACTTTCTGTTCCACTGTTTCCACCTTCTGTCCTACTCTGCTCACCTTCTGCTCCACTATTTCCACCTTCTGTCCTACTTTGCCCAACTTCTATTCCACTATTTCCACCTTCTGTTCCACTGTTTCCACCTTCTGTCCTACTCTGCTGACCTTCTGCTCCACTATTTCCACCTTCTGCTCCACTATTTCCACCTTCTGCTCCACTATTTCCACCTTCTGTCCTACTCTGCCCACCTTCTGCTCCACTATTTCCACCTTCTGCTCCACTATTTCCACCTTCTGTCCTACTCTGCCCAACTTCTATTCCACTACTTCCACCTTCTGTCCTTCTCTGATTACCTTCTTTTCCACAATTTCCATCCTCTGTCCTACTCTGTCCACCTTCTGTTCTACTGTTTCCACCTTCTGTCTTGTCCTACTCTGCTCACCTTCTTTTCCACAATTTCCATCCTCTGTCCTACTCTGCTCACCTTTTTACACAATTTGTATCCTCTGTCCTACTCTGCCCACCTTCTGCTTTATGATTTCCTCCTTCTGTCCTACTCTGCCCACCTTCTATTCCACTATATCCAATTTCTGTCTTAATCTACCTACTTTTTATTTCACTATGTGTGCCCACTGAACTTTCTGCTAACCTTTCTAACTTTATGCCAC